CTCACAGTTTACCCGAGCTTCTGAAGCAGGAGAACGGCTTTTCATTGCGCAAACGAAACCAGCATAAAATGTTTTACAATACGTTTACTTTTTTGTACCATGAGAAAACACAGCAAACAAGTGGATGTTTTCTGTTATTTCTTTTTTTTTCTTTGTTAAACTATTTCATTAGGTTACATCATACATACATTCATTAGTTGACAGCCTTGATGATAATGCTTTTTTGAGACAAATAATTTTCTTGTTTATTCTTATACTGGAGAAGCCAATTGACTAGGACTGTAACAATTTATCGTGCCACTATAAATCGCAATACAAAAATGCAGCAATATGTGTTAGTTCACACAGTTTTAGTGTCAGTACTACATTAAAATACTATATATAATGTATAATAATACATTGTAATGCAGGGGGGAATTTTTGACAGCGAAAGCATATTCGTCTATAATAATTCAGTATTTTCAGCTTCAAAATCCTTTTGCTTCTCCACTAAATGTATCTTGATTGAAGAATGTTTAGATATTTGTCCTGAAAAACAGGAAGAACAGCATTGTTTGAAGTGAAAACACTAGCTCAAATTTCAGCTTAAACCGGAAAAACAGAAAGAGTTAAAATGCAAAACTGCAAATTTGACCAAATTTGCATAAAATAAGCAAGCGTGAGAAAGTGTCTCCTGCATAACAGGCGTTTTCGGTGGAATGTGTTGAGGAGAGTGTTGCGGCACCAGTGTGTCACGAGCTGTTATCTAACACTTCAGCACCGCAGACAGCTCCACACACACACACTCGCTCGCTGACACACTCTACACAGAGAATAAAGGGGTTTCACTGCAGAGGAGCCGAATCAAATGAAGGATCTAGAGCCGAGGAGGGTCCGCACTGCAGAGCCTAAAAATAGAACTGATCTGAGATCAGCCAACACTGGATATCTGGAGTATTCATTAGCATTTAAAGGGACAGCGCAGAATGAATTGACATTCTGTCATCAATTCCACACCGTTATGTTGTTCCAAGATCATCTCTGTGGAAGACAAACTATGATGTTTAGCTATGATGTTTAATCTCACAAAATCTCACTTTATTTGTGTTGCATGGAGAAAAGCAGCTTTTTGCTGACACTCTCTTTATGTGTTGCAGGGTTATTTTACAGCTAAAACTATTAATAGCATTTATGTTCATTGAAATAAAGCTGAAATAAAATAAAGTGTAAGTATTGTAAAAAACCTGAACTAAATGCAAATTAGAAAATTGCCTTGGCAATAAAGTTGAAGCACTAAAATTATTAACTGGAAACAATAAAAAATTAAATTAAATGGTTAGTTCACCCAAAAATGAAAATTCTGTCGGTATTTACTCACCCTCATGTTGTTCCAACCCCGTAAGACCTTCGTTCATCTTCGGAACACAAATTAAGATATTTAAGATATTAAGATCGCTCCTGCATACTAGTCCATAGGCTTCTTGAGGGAATGACTCTTGCTGGCCTCAAAGTCATTAAAGACATCGTTAAAATAGTCCAAGTGACTACAGGGGCTCAATCTTAAGTTTATCAAACGACGATAACACTTTTGTGCGCAAAAAACAACAAAAATAACGACTTTATTTCAACTATTCGTTTATTTCTCCCTCTGCGCGGGTTACTAGTTTAATAGCGTACGCTTCTGTTATTGTACGTCACACGCATCACACACATGACCAGCGTCGGCCAATAGTTAGCCTACGTGTGACGTAGCTTTACGCTATCACACTACGTTAACTGACTACAGGCCCATGGAGAAGGAAGTGAATAGTTGAAATAAAGTCGTTATTTTTGTTTGTTTTTTGCGCACAAAAAGTGTTCTCGTCGTTTGATAAAGTTAAAATTGAGCCACTGTAGTCACTTGGACTATTTTAACGATGTCTTTAATGACTTTTCGATGCCAGCAAGAGTCATTCCCTCAAGAAGCCTATGGACTAGTATGCAGGAGCGATCTTAATATCTGAAATATCTTAATTTTTGTTCCGAAGATGAACGAAGGTCTTACGGGGTTGGAACAACATGAGGGTGAGTAAATACTGACAGAATTTTCATTTTTGGGTGAACTAACCCTTTAACTAAAAACTCAAACTGAAATAAAAATAAACACGTAGAAAAAAGCTAATTAAATGACAAATGCACTAAAAAAATAAACAAAATGATCTTAAAACCTAAAAATAAGCTAATTCAAAATATAAATAAAACTAAAATAACACTGATGTGTTGCATAAGAGAAACAAAAAGTCATACAGGTTCTGCTTTCAGATCATAAGGGGTTTAGCATAGAATTATTCGGTAACACTTTACAATAAGGGTGCACTAATAAGCATTAATTCATGCTTAACTAATGCACAGATAATACTGAATTAATGTGTAAGTAATGATTATCTAAGCTATTCATTAATGATTACCACATAATGAACTAATTAAGAGTATGTAAGGTTAATGTATTAGTTCATACATGAATTGTTTTTAATTAAATATGTAATTGTGGATTAATTCCATAATAACTCATTTTTTTAACTAATAGTGTTAATTAAAAGTGTTAATATTAATATGTTAATTACCAGAATGAGCCAAAGCCTTGTATTTCAACTTCCAGATAATATGGCAGGTACACTAATATGCATTAATACATGATTACTTACTCAATTGTTAATGCAAATTCATGTGAAAATTACTACAATTACTAAATGACTAGTTAATAATGATGTGCCTCAACAAGTAAAGTCATAACATAATGATACCTTTGCAAATCATTAGCTAATGATTAATTAAAGCAGACAACTGGAAGTTGAAGTGCATAGCTTTGACTAATTGTGGTAATTAACACATTAATTTACACTATTAGTTAATAAAATATGTTATTAAGGAATTAATACACAATGACACATTGAATTAATAGCAATTTGTGTATTACTTAATCTATTAATCATATAGACTCTTTATTAGTTCCTGATGCAGTAATCGTTAATTAATGGATTAGTTCTTCATTAGTTATACATTAACTCACCCCTATTGTGTATTATCTGTGTATTAGTTAAGCATGAATTAATGCATATTAGTGCACCCGTATTGTAAAGTGTTACCAATTATTCATTAGTTTATGTTGATATTTGTGAGCATTTTAAATACAAATGACACAACTCAGATTACTGTGGCGGACCAAACGAATGAATGTACAGATAAACTGATGAGGTAAATATTTTCAGATTTTCATAGAAAAATTGTCATTTTATTCAGACTTATTTAGGTTGGTGACACACAACCGGTCCATAAACTTTATGAATTCAAACTGACATTGTATTATAAGCGCACTCTTTTCACTCTTCTCAAGTTCATTTGAAACGGTCCTGTGGTCTTTAAAAAAAATATTGAAAAAAATATTGAATATTCCATGTATTCACAATTAATATGAGCTTAGAAGACAAGAATGTATAACAATTATAAAAAAAAAAGAGCTAAAGGCTGTTTTAAAAAAAAAAGTTCACAGGACATTGTCAAATCAGAGAAGATTCAGAAGAAAGTAGCAAAAAAAGCAGTTCTCATATCTCCTGACCAGTAGGTGGCGCTGTGCTGAAATGCTGCATGCTGGCTCAAGTCGCGCTTATGATGACACGCACCAAGTTTCATCTCAATACGTTAAAGATATAGCCTTGCATCCAATTGGTCTTCGTCAAATTTGCATTATTCGAGAACGTTTGGGTTAATCAAAAAGATTTTAATCACTTTTTTTGCCAGCAAGGTCTGAACCATCTTAGGTGAAGATAGGATGAACCGTCTAGGACAAGATGGAAAAAGTAGGTTTTTCGGGAAATTCAAAATAGCAAATGAATGCAATCAAAATGTCTTGATCATAGACTGTAATAAAAAATATGGTCGTAGTGTGCGTGACGTGACTCATAGTGTTTCTGAACAGCATTTTTGAAGCCTAAAGTGGGCGGAGCCAGCCATCGCCATCTTGCCCGCGCATCACTCTGAGGTATTAGCTGAGGTGACGTGACGCTAACAGATAGCAGACAAACGGCTAGTAGTGACATCAGCGGCAATCCACATGTCACTCAAGTGGCCACGCCCTTAATTATGCAGAATTTTAAGGCTTAATATAATTTAGATGGATGAGTTCTAAAAAATTCACCCTGCTCATAGTCATCATGAAGGGCAAAATTAGCTATTTAGACCAAAACCACTTTTTGCACCAGGCTGTAAACATGCTTTTTTTCTGCTGTAAAGTTGGGCATTTTAACATGCGGGTCTATGGGATTGAGTCTCTTCTGCAGCCGGTCTCTAGTGGCCAGTCGATGAACTGCAGTTTAAGTCACTTCTGTGTCAGATTCTGTGCCTCCACTTGGTCTTGATCCAAACAAATGACCCTGAATCAGATGTATTTGGTGCGTCCTGGTGCATTTAGCAGTGGCTGTGTCGACTATAAACAGTCACTATAGCAATCACTCCTGACGAAACCCTCAGCGCATGACGGGTATGTGACGGGATAACAGAGATTGATTTTCAAAACTAGATGCATTTCTGTCAGTGTGTGCTTTGTAGTTATTTAGCCATACACACAGTTACACTAATCCTAACCCAGATATACAGTTTGTCCAAACCTTATCTTTATCAAACATCATTCTGATGTGTATACAGTATATTCTGTAGTGTAATATGCGCTCCGTGTTATTACAATTATTATGAATTATTGCGTTTGTGCAATGTTCTGCACATTTACAGTAATAACACTCACGTGATTCACTCCAATTTAACGTTTTTTTGTTTTTAAATTTTATTTATGGTCTCCATTCAAGACACTCAAGGACACCTTACAAACAATAAAATACATAAACAATGAATACAAATAAAAAAATAAAACTACACAAAGGTTATGTCAATCAGAAAAAGAGGAGCTTTAAGTGATGATGTATTGTGATGATGATATGAGGATGATGTAAAGTGATGTTGATCATGTGATATCGCTGCTCTCTCTGCAGCGTGTGGGACCGCGGCCGCGGGAGCCGAGGACGAGGGCGAGGCCGAGGCCGGCTGGATCGAGGGAGCTGCGATCTTACTCTCAGTGGTGTGTGTTGTTCTGGTCACGGCCTTCAACGACTGGAGCAAAGAGAAGCAGTTCAGGGGTTTACAGAGCCGCATCGAGCAGGAGCAGAAGTTCCAGGTGGTGCGAGGAGGCCAGGTCATACAACTCCCCGTTTCAGATATTGTCGTTGGTGATATCGCACAGATCAAATATGGTATGTGTCCACAAGTTCTTCTTTTTATTTATTTTTTAACTTATCCCTGTATTAATAATAGGTCCCTAATAAATCCTTTACATGCAGTCTGTTAGCAGTCACACTATTTACTATATGCCACAAGCTGATTGGCCTCTGCTTATTCTGCAGCCAATCAGATTGCTTGCTCTACATTTAAATAGTCAGATTCAATATTTGTTGTAAGATGGTCCTGCAAACGTCAACATTAAGGGCCCGACAAACATTAATAGTGATGGGAGCCAAAATATTAAATGGCATGGAGAAATAGAGAAAAAAATAACTTAAGATGGAGAAAAAATGACTTAAGAAAGAAAGTTAAATCTGTGTACTTTAGTGGACTTTGATAAGTGACCCACCCACATTTGGTTTTTGACCACTGAAAATGTGTACAATTTAACAATTTACTCATGAAGCCGCATTGAGTTCCCTATATCTCTGGGATTTAACCATATAGAGGCTTAAAATTAAGATACCAAAAGAACATTTTAAGATAAAAAAAATATAGTGAAATATGTGTATTACTTTTTGAGTAACAGGCATGTTAAGGATAAAAAAAAAAACAGGATTAGGGGTGGGGTTAGGGATCAGGGGTGGAGATGGGTAGGTTTTGGGGTGGGGTTAGGGATCAGGGGGCGGAGATGGGTAGGTTTAGGGGTGGGGTTAGGGATCAGGGGGCGGAGATGGGTAGGTTTAGTGATGGGGTTAGGGATCAGGGGGGGAGATGGGAAGGTTTAGGGGTGGGGTTAGGGATCAGGTGTGGAGATGGGTAGGTTTAGTGATGGGGTTAGGGATCAGGGGGGGAGATGGGAAGGTTTAGGGGTGTGGTTAGGGATCAGGGGGTGGAGATGGGTAGGTTTTGTCGTGGGGTTAGGGATCAGGGGGCGGAGATGGGAAGGTTTAGGGGTGGGGTTAGGGATCAGGGGGCGGAGATGGGTAGGTTTAGTGGTGTGGTTAGGGATCAGGGGGCGGAGATGGGTAGGTTTAGGGGTGGGGTTTGGGATCAGGGGGCGGAGATGGGTAGGTTTAGGGGTGGGGTTAGGGATCAAGGGGTGGAGATGGATTGGTTTAGGGGTGGGGTTAGGGATCAGGGGGCGGAGTTGGGTCGGGTTGGGGATGTGGTTAGGGATCAGGGGCGGAGATTAGTAGGTTTAGGGGTGGGGTTTGGGATCAAGGGGTGGAGATGGATTGGTTTAGGGGTGGGGTTAGGCATCAGGGGGCGGAGTTGGGTCGGTTTGGGGATGTGGTTAGGGATCAGGGGGCGGAGATGGATAGGTTTAGGGGTGGGGTTATGGATCAGGGGGCAGAGATGTGTAGGTTTAGGTATATGTAAGGTGGAAGGAGTTGGATCTGGATCAGTGAGGACCATCTCTGTATCTGTCGCCATTGGTATATAATGCAACAAGTATTGCTAAAGTAAACAGAATTTTTACGCTCCTATTTGACTCCAAATCTCAGGTGACGATTTTCTTTTTGAACCCCCTCTACAAAATAGTGGATTACTCAATAAATATTCATCCATGGCAGTTAATATTTTGGCTTTCATCACTGTTTGTCTTTAAATATTTCACTGTCAGAAAAAAAGGTACAAAACCTGTCACTGGGGCGGTACCTTTTCAAAAGGTACTCTTTTGTACCTAAAGGGTGCATATTGGTACCTTCATGGTACATATTTGTACAATTATGGCACCAATATGCACCCTTTAGGTGCAAAAGTGTACCTTTTGAAAAGGTACCGCCCCAGTGACAGGTTTTGTACCTTTTTTTCTGACAGTGTTGAGTCGAGAACCTCGGCTTGATTTGCATGGAATGACCCAGTAACATTGTCATATCAATTAACATGATAAAGCTATCTTGCGCGGTGTGCAGTGATTCTTCAATTAGGGGAATGTTTCTGTCTTCTAGGGTGATTTTGAAAAATAAAATAAAAGATTGATTCTAGCTTATAAGGACATATTAGGGGCATCTTTGTGCATCTGTAATTACTTGAGTTCAAAGGTTAAATTTGTTTTTAGCACTTTGTTATATTGCAAATGATTTGGTATTTTTTAAATAGTTGTGACATTACTACACACTAAAAACAACTGAACGTAACTATTTACAAATACCAAATCAGTTGCGAAACACTATTTTACAGTTGCTGAGTGTGTGGTATTTAACAGTGTTTGTGGACAAATTAAGGTTTTCTTTGTGTGTGTGTGTTTTTTTCTTACAGTTAATAATATAATAAGTAATAAATAAAAAGTTTGACATTCAATATTTTTGAGAACTTTCCCACAGTGTGACATGCTACACTCCATCTAACACGATTTTAAACAGCATTGAGCTCATTCTTTATCATTTTTGCCACTTTTATGAAGACATTAATTAAGAGACAACAGTATGGAATATATGAAGAGTTCAGATGCAAAAGCCTCTAAATGCCATTTGAAATTTTCTTCTTTAATGATGATTTTTATCAAACTTGTATATTTAAGTTCAGTAATTTCACTTAAATAACAATTAATAGGTAATTATCATTGCCATTTAAGTGAAATCACTGAACTTAAATATACAAGTTTGATAAAAATCATCATTAAAGAAGAAATAAAAATTTCAAATGGGATTTAGAGGCTTTTGCATCTGAACTCTTCATATGTACTGCAAATAATATTTCACTCTATAGAACCATTAAAAATGAATTATTGAAAACGTGAAGGTAAAGTTAATCTACAATATACACAATTATATGCGTGTTATCCTTAAATCTCAATTAAAATAAATCCATGGACATGTGTCAATGTATAAATATATTAACACAGATGCAATTCAAGATTTGTAATTGAAGGTTCACCCATATATAATCTGAAATCTATTAATGAAGTGGAGCGTTATCAAGAGCGCTTTAAACCATGACCAGACAGCATCGCTGCGCAATGAAGCGAGACTGATCTGTGTCATTAATTCAGAGTTTGATTATGAGAGTTGGTCAAGCTGATCAGTACTCTGGAGATGTTATCATACTGGTTCTGCAGTGTTGGAGGGGTTCTGGGTGTTATTTCGGATCTCCTGACCGAGTGGGAGGCGGATAATGCATGTTTTGACAGTGATGGAGGGATCCTGTGGGTGAGAGCGTTTGGCAAGCTCAAGGGAGGGGGCTCCATCTTCTTTACTAGTACAGTGGTGGTTAGCAGTAGCTTATTTTTTGAATATGTGTGGGAGATGATATGATGCATTGCAAAGATGGAAAATGAAAGCAAAATTATCTCTGAACGAAAAAAAACAACAACATTTGTTGATATATAAAACAACAGAAGGGCCCAATACCGAACCCTGGGGAACACCACCTACAGTATAGTATTGCCTATTGTTGCACAACATACTGCTATTCTTGTCATTTTGGTTTTGACTTAGTTAAGGCTGTAAACGCAGAAAATTGGAGAGAGATTCTGTTGTGAAATGCTTGACATGTGCCATCTTAGAGGATCAACTTTGGAATTCTTTGAAAACAGCCATATTGATCCAGACTTCTTGTTTGTAGAAACTGAGGGAATTGTTGGAAGGAAAACAAAGGCTCTAAGAAGAGCTTTTGGAGATTAGATTTTGAAATATGCTCCGTTGCTGAGTGGCTGCCTGTGTTCAGAAACAGTTTTGTCCCTGTTGTGCTCTTGACCGTTGGATTTATCAAGTTAAGCTGGAGACTCGATATAAGTTACTTTGAATATCATGTTTTTTTTTTTTTTTTAAACATAGTGCACCATAATTAATGCTGAACTTTTAAAAGATTAGTTCACTTCAGAATACAAATGGCCTGATAATTTACTCTCCCCCACGCCATCCAGGATATTCATATCGTTCTTTGTTTAGTTGAAAAGAAAACATTTCAGGTTTGTTCTCCATATAGTGACTTCAATGGTGTCTAACGGGTTGAAGGTCCAAATGTGAGTTTCAGTGCAGCTTCAAAGTCTCGACACGATCCCAGCTTTTTAACCACAAATGCTCGTACATTATGTGATCACGTTGAAAGGTCAATTGTGAAGTAGGCGGAAGTGAAGACCTAGTGTTTAAAAAGCCAGCATGCAAAGACTAAGTCAAAAAGCCTAACCCTACCAAAAAAAAAAAAAGAAAAGAAAATTGTGAATCAACGATCTCAGACGATTTTGAAGTTGGAGGAGAAAATTAGATATTTCACCCTTCCCTACATTTTATTAAACACTCGTGACCTTTTTTTTGTGTGGTTACTTTTGTTAGATGTGATTTGGTGAGGCATGTTTTTTTTTTTTTTTTTTTTTTTAATTCTTAAGAATTTTACTACATTTTTTTTACACCATTACTGTGTTCAGGCGACCTGCTCCCGGCGGACGGGGTCTTGATACAAGGCAACGATCTGAAGATCGATGAGAGTTCTCTGACGGGAGAATCCGACCATGTGCGCAAATCTGCAGATAAAGACCCCATGCTTCTCTCTGGTGAATCCATCTTTACTACTTTATTTTACTTTCACAGTGTTCACTTTGTTGTGCTTTTTCACCTGTAATAAATATTGAATTTTGACATCCAAGTCATCAAAAAAGTCAAATTGATCGACACAGGCAAGTGGCTCTTCCCACAAATAGTCTTAAAATTTTGGTAACGCTTCCTTTTACAGTACAGTAGACTTACAGTGTACTTACCTAGAAAGTACTGGCTAATATAAGGTAAGTACATGGAACAGGGGTAGGTTTAGCGGTAGGTTCAGGGTTAGTACTAGTTATTACCCAGTAATTGTAGTTACTAAAATAAGTACATATTATTTACATGGGTAACTGGACTGTAAAAGAAAGCGTTTCCAATTTTTTTTACTTTTTGTTATCATAAATTTTGTTATCAAGTATTCATTGAAAGGAGATGATTAACCTTTAGAAAGTGTTAAATGTTATATCATTTAATTATTTTCCAATCATTCTGTAGAAAGGACCCACAAATTCCACTACTCTGATGTCATTATTTTTTAAGAATGTGGTTGTAATGTTGTGTCCAAAATGTGTGCCAGTTAAAAATGATTAATTGAGAGATTTATTAATGATAAGAATGAAGAAAAAAAAAAAGCATAATTGTGTTTGTTTGATGCAGGAAAAGATGGGACAGATAGAAAGCTGTGTGTAATGTGTTTAAATTAAAAAACTAGCTTCATGTTAAGGTTTAATTTGTTAAAATTAGTTAACTAAATTAGTTTACATGAACTAACAATAACCAACCAATAACCGAACAATCCGACCTTGTTGTAAAATAATGATTAATGATTTAAAAATAATAATTACAAAAAATTTAATAATTTAAACATATTTATTAGTTGTAACCAACTACATCATTTATTGTCATGCACTCTTTTAATGTACTTTGGTTCTACAATTTGAATTTATAAAGGACAATAATGGCAAGCAAGTACTGTGTTTGACAGCATAAACTCTATTAATTAGCTTTGAGGATCAGTTATCACCTCTACAGTCAGGTGTGTGTGTGTGCTATCAGACAGCAGTCATCTATGAGATCACACATTGTGCTGAGGTGAGAGCGTCAGGCCTGCTATTACTTCCAGTTGCTCCATGACTTACCGCACCATTAACTGAATCCCCAGGCACGCATGTGATGGAGGGCTCGGGTCGGATGGTGGTCATGGCTGTCGGGGTGAACTCTCAGACCGGGATCATCTTCACTTTACTCGGTGCTGGCGGAGAGGAGGAGGAAAAAAAAGAGAAGAAAGGTGCGTAACTAAAGCTCAGTCTGATAGAACTTCAGCAGAGCTGCATTACACCAACACTTCTGAACGGGGATCAACATTCATTCCTGCCAGTTAATGTTGTTATTATTGCATAAACCCTTTTCTTATATCAGCAGACCTTTGAAAACCTCACAAAAACAGGACACTTGGGGGAAAAGAACATTATAACGCATATTTAAATTGAAAACCCAGTTTATAATCGACAAAACTCTCCCTGTTTTAGCAAAACTATCAGAATAGTTTGGAACAATTATGATTTTTTTCCAAACTTCTGCCCAGTCGTGTATTTACTATTGCTCGTATTTCATGGTTTGAACAAATAGTATTAAAGGGGTCATGAACTGCCTTATCTTTTTTTTTATTTTAGAATGTTTCCTGGCTTTCACATCAAAAAATGGTCATGAATTAGAAATAAAAGGCATTTTTCCTACCCTGATTTAAGCCTCTGATTTGAATGCTCTGTTTGAAGGGGCGTGTCTGCAGTGTAAACGCCCACTGCTGTGATTGGCTGTGAGACTTTTGTGTACACGCCCACTTCTGTAATTGGCTGTGAGACTTCAGTGTAAACGCCCTCTGCTGTAATTGGCTGTGAGACTTCAGTGTAAACGCCCACTGCTGTGATTGGCTGTGAGACTTTAATGTAAACGCCCACTGCTGTGATTGGCTGTGAGACTTTTGTGTACACGCCCACTGCTGTAATTGGCTGTGAGACTTCAGTGTAAACGCCCACTGCTGTGATTGGCTGTGAGACTTTAATGTAAACGCCCACTGCTGTGATTGGCTGTGAGACTTCAGTTTAAACGGCCACTGCTGTGATTGGCTGTGAGACTTTAGTGTAAACGCCCACTGCTGTGATTGACTGTGAGACTTCAGTTTAAACGCCCACTGCTGTGATTGGCTGTGAGACTTTAGTGTAAACGGCCACTTCCGTGATTGGCTGTGAGACTTCAGTGTAAACGCCCTCTGCTGTGATTGGCTGTGAGACTTCAATGTAAACGCCCACTGCTGTGATTGGCTGTGAGACTTTAATGTAAACGCCCACTGCTGTGATTGGCTGTGAGACTTTTGTGTACACGCCCACTGCTGTAATTGGCTGTGAGACTTCAGTGTAAACGGCCACTGCTGTGATTGGCTGTGAGACTTTAGTGTAAACGCCCACTGCTGTGATTGACTGTGAGACTTCAGTTTAAACGCCCACTGCTGTGATTGGCTGTGAGACTTTAGTGTAAACGGCCACTTCCGTGATTGGCTGTGAGACTTCAGTGTAAACGCCCTCTGCTGTGATTGGCTGTGAGACCTCAATGTAAACGCCCACTGCTGTGATTGGCTGTGAGACTTCAATGTAAACGCCCACTGCTGTGATTGGCTGTGAGACTTCAGTGTAAACGGCCACTTCCGTGATTGGCTGTGAGACTTCAGTGTAAACGCCCTCTGCTGTGATTGGCTCTGAGACTTCAATGTAAACGCCCACTGCTGTGATTGGCTGTAAGACTTCAGTATAAACGCCCACTGCTGTGATTGACTGTGAGACTTCAGTTTAAACGCCCACTGCTGTGATTGGCTGTGAGACTTTAGTGTAAACGCCCACTGCTGTGATTGACTGTGAGACTTCAGTTTAAACGCCCACTTCCGTGATTGGCTGTGAGACTTCAGTGTAAACGCCCTCTGCTGTGATTGGCTGTGAGACTTTAATGTAAACGCCCACTGCTGTGATTGGCTGTGAGACTTCAGTATAAACGCCCACTGCTGTGATTGGCTCTGAGACTTCAGTGTAAACGCCCTCTGCTGTGATTGGCTGTGAGACTTCAATGCAAACGCCCACTGCTGTGATTGGCTGTGAGACTTCAGTGTAAACGCCCACTGCTGTGATTGGCTGTGAGACTTTGGTGTTTGACTGACAGCTCAGCAGTGATTGAAAAATAAGTGTTCTCTGATCCCTTTCTGTATAATTTAACCTGTTTGTGGTCCGACGTGCCGTATACGGCCAACAGGGTGGTTTATAGGTTTAACTTTGTGAAAGACAAAACAAAACAAACACAAAAGTAAACATAATACATATCTTTGGAAAGCTGAGAAACTCGTGATTCGAACGACGTAAACCATTTTAAGATACAATCAACACAGCGGGCACAATCTGTCTCTTTGTCAGACCACCAACAGCCAAAACAAACCAACACAAACTGGAAGAAACTCACCAATTAGCCATCTGTTAGTCCACATTCCAACAAAAATGGTTTGGTTTCACTGTAAAGCGTCCATACAATCCAATTTGAAGAAGTTTTTAGTCCAAAACAATTGTATATATGAATAAACATCCATGGAATGCAATAGTAGCATTTCGCGTTAGCCGACAGCGCTATCACAACTTCGACGCACTAACACTATTTGATCTGTCTAACTTCAGTTGAAACGTAAACATTGGAGAAAAAAGTATGTCAAAATGGCCGCTGACCCCCGAACTATTGATTGACAGGTCATTTTAGCCAATCGGCGAGTGTTAGGGGTGTCTTCTGATGTTCCAACAACCAACGAGCTCGCCTGGTGAAATCTGTACCTACCTCTCTTTGAGTGACAGTTTATCTATCCAGTTGCAATAGAGAATGAAATGACGCTATTTTCTGATAGCCAATGAATTTCTGAAAAGACTGAAATGCAGCTTTAGTGGCTGGAATCATCCGATTACGTTATATTTCATGCGTAAAGCGAAAGTGATCCTCTGCGCGTTTGTGCGTAAACACAACATTGAACGCGTTGGTGAGTGAAAGGAGGTAACAGATGTGAAATGGCAAAGATAATTAGAAAGACGCACTTATTACTCGAAGAAGTGATTGAACAGTGTATTCTCCGTGACCGTGGTGAGTGGGAGGACATTTGTGAGCAAGAGAGCAATCGATGTTGTTGTCTGGTTAGCACGACTAGCAGAGGACCCTTTTGGATGGTGGCCACGGCACTCACGTCACGAAAAGTAAGTTTTATTATATTGCCCAACATATTTGACTGTATATACTGAGACATGTGTTTGTTTTAGGTGTACTAAAACAAACACATGCCTCAGTTGAGGTGTGTCAGCTTTTGCCGTGTGTGTTTGTGTGAGTGTGTTCAACATAGCATTACCTGCTAGCTAGGTTCTCTGGTGTGCGCTCGTAACGTTACAGCACTATTTAATATGTGGCCTTTTTGTGAGTTGAAATTGCTAAACACGCAAAACATACATGTCTTGTGTGTGTGTGTTTACATGTGCTAACTTATGTCGTGTTTGTTTATGTCATAGCTCATGATGTGCGTGTGCGCTCATGAACTGCATAATCCTGGTTCTTTGTGTGCATGTGTTTCTGTTTATTTTTGTATTCACACGCATATAATGTCAATGTTTTGTAAATTATTTCCCTTTTTTATATATCACAGACCATCATCTGAAAATTAGTGAGTGAATTCTGGGAGCCAGTCAGAAAAAAACAACATACTGGAACAGAATGACAGCACCTTATCAGGAGAGGAGCCCCATCATTTATCTTTCCAGAGAGGTTCTGCCAGCTAAACAACAAGTGGACGGGGAGGGTGAGATGCAGAGGAGAACTGGCTTTTTCTTTTTTCAAGTCTGTGCATATCACTGGACACAGCACTGCAGGTCGTCACACTTTTTGTGTGTGTGTGTGTATATATGTATTTATATATATATATATATATATATATATATATATATGTATATGTAGTTTCAGTTCTAATATTAAAGTGTTTTAGTACCATAGCACTTGTTTTGTCTCTTTATTTGTAGAAAGTTTGGTTTCAAGAATTGAAAAAAAAAACACTATAATGTGTTTATGCTTCAGTTACTATGTGTCATCAATATTTACAGTGAATCTGGCTAAGGAATATGATAGCCCTAAATGTAACCTTTCATTAGAGCCCAAAATTATGACTGTAGAGTAAAGTATTCAAGAATAGCAGCATTTTATGTGTCTATGATCACAAAGGGTCATTTGGAGTCTCCAAGTGGCTTTTTTTGGGAAGCGCCTAGATATACACTTAGATAAACATGTGTAAAACACTCATTTTCTTAGATATCATCATCAAATTTTAAACTCTGTTTGGTAAGGCTTCATGCTGTGATCCAGTTGTGTTTTCTAGCTCATAGCTCCCAGCTGTAGTTATCTGCAGGCATCTGTTTACACAAAAAAAATGTAGGCGGAATTTTTTTGTCATTTTTCATTGTGTTCAAAGTTATATTACTCAAGACCAGTAAGACTTACAGTGATTTTGACTGTTTAGGAACAAACCTCTGAGTGTCACCTTTCAAAAGAGAGCAAAAGCATGCATATACTCCAAATGGTTCAAGAACAGCATGCAATTTAATTTGGATAGGTCTTTTTTAGGCGTTTCGGGCAAATTTTGCAGGCCTTCTAAGAGGTTAATCACATTTTAAATCACATTTTCATTCTGCTAAGAGGAAAAATGCGAAGATGACCATTAAGTCACTCACTGGTTTAATTTACCGCCACATAGACAAAAATCACCTGACTGTACATGAATCATTACATATTAAGAAATCACTGGTCACAGATCAGGCATTAGAATGAACACGGTTACTGCGAATGTCTCAGTTGAGCATTATTTGTTTTTTCACCGTCGATTCTTAGGCAAATAAGCCACAATTTCATGGACTCCATGATGCTAATGCTACATGCATTATTGTCGAGTCCATGTCATAAAAGTCTATTTTCAAAGCCTGCGCCGAAATTGCGACTGATTTGCCAAATAATCGACAGTGAACAAACAAATGGTGCTCAACTGAGACATTCACACTGTTGAAAATAAATAAAACCACATTCCTAACAGTAGGATCCTATGGATGGTCATATTATTTTTAGTCCAGTCAGTGATCCTGTATCGCTCATCATCTCACTAACTCGCCAGTGGGCGGGGCCAAAGTTGCGTTGATCCCAACGAGTCGTTCTCTGAGCTCGGTTTCGATAAAAACTGTTTTTGGACTAAGGAAGTTTTTAGATCTGGAACTTACAGAATATTCTTATAGTATGATGACCTTTTAAGTGTCAGTTATTTCTCAGTTCATGACCCTTTAAAGTGCGATGCGTAACTCATTCCACAGGTTTGATATCTCGAATCGTGTGCTGTTACGATTGGACTCCAGCAGCACCCTGTCAATCACCCACATGCCGATCAGCCAATAGAGTTTTAATCAAAACGAGCAGCTTTTTTTCCCACAATGAGAGACTGCTTATGGGTAGAACGTGCCACTGTTTTTTCGCGAGCACACAGTGGCTTTTCTGGTTAGGGAGCATGTGCTGTTTGTCAGCATAAGGCTTATGTGTTTGTTATTCTGCAAACTGCCACAGGTCAGGCTCTGGAGGACGGCCATCAGCTGGCAGGTACAGTATACATCTCTGTACCCGAGGATACACTCATTTATTACCCCACTAAACCTGCTCTTCCCTCCCGAACCCTGCTTTAGCAACCGTGATCTTTCACTTAAAAAGAAGCTCTTTTTAAGTATTCAAAGAAATGCATTTCACCCACGACCCCGCTTAGATGACGATCGGGAGGTTGTGATGGACAAGTGATTCCCTCAAGGCCGGATAGATTGATGATATCAGATTGATCACGGTTAGGGTTGGGTATCGAGAATCGAGTATCGATTGGAACCGGGACTAACTTTTCGTTTTTCCCGGAATCGTTCAAAAGTTAAAATTTCGATTCCTAGTTTCGATATTCACAGTCCGCCGAGCGGAAGAAGAAACCGCTGAACAACACCAACGAAGAAGCGTCTACCGGAAGTGTTGGCATAACCACGCGAGTCGAACATGAGTAGCTTACGTCGGCGGTCCAAAGTGTGGCTTTACTTTTCTAAAAATAACGAAATCTCGGCAAAATGCAAAATTTGTGACAAAAGGAGTATTTTTACAGAAGGAGTATTTCCTTCAGAAAGGATTATTTCCTTCAGAAAGACCGTTGGTTAGCAAGGTTAGCTAAACTTTTTTGACCCTGCCTCTTAAAAGAATCGGAATCGAGAATCGTTAGGAACCGGAATCGAAACAAGGAATCGGAATCGGAGTCAGAATCGTTCAAATTCAAACGATACCCAACCCTAATCACGGTTTCGTAGCCTCGTAATCTGACACCCTACTGTTGTATTTGAAGTACATGGGTTTGATTTTTTTTTTTTAGCATGCTTTTAATTTGGTTGTTTTATTTATTTTTTGAATCACCCGTGATTGGTTGTGTAAATAGCAATCGGAACTCGAGAGTCTGTGCCATTGATCATTGTGTAGTTTTGTGCCTCGACTTTTTGTCTGCCATATTATGTGTAACCTGTCTTATGTTGCAGTGTTTTTTTCCCATCGATGTCATTCTTTCAAAGTCACCTTTCTGTTGACAGCAGTGTATTGAGAGAGTACTAATGGTGATAACCATGCTACTTTTGTTCATTATTACGGCTAGACTGCTCGCATCCCTCCTCACACCCCATCGCGACTATAGCTACCGATGGTGCGGCAAGCGCAAATGCCCCTGGTAATACCAGCCTAGTCAATGGTAGGTTGAGCAGGCCTTCGCTGTCCGTCACTCACTGGCTCCGCCTCTCCTTCTCCAGTTGTCTATTGCCTTGTCCGAATACCCACACTTGCGGTCTTGGCCACTTGAGAGCACTGTTCCATGTCTTCAAAATGCCAAAGTGCCCTTAATGCACAGTGAACCCACACTATCTAAGCGGATTTGAGGCTACCCGTATCCCATCATGCATTATGTTCAGGAACTCCCTGAAGTGCCCCGGAATCGCGACATGTTTATTTTTTGTAATTTAAATGAACAATTACATATATTTTTGTAGTAAATTCATAAAGTGTTGCACATTTTATTGGTGCAAAGATGAGTATGGAATGTGTAGGCCTATTTCGTGCAACATTTGCAACTGTTTTTATCACTTAATTAGAAGCACCATAATAAATATGTGTCTTCTGTTAGATAAAATTGAAAATATATTAAATAAAAGCCCTTAAACACTTGAAGAGTTCAGATGCAAAAGCCTCTAAGTGCCATTTGAAATTTTCGTCTTTAATGATGATTTGTATCAAACTTGTATATTTAAGTTCAGTGATTTCACTTAAATGGCAATGATAATTACCTTTTAATTGTTATTTAAGTGAAACTACTGAACTTAAATATACAAGTTTGATAAAAATCATCATTAAAGAAGAAAATTTCAAATGGCATTTAGAGGCTTTTGCATCTGAACTCTTCACTTGCAGTTTTTGCAAGACTATAAGTGTGTCCCATCGAGTAATCAAAAGTTCTACACACTCTTGCAGTCTTTTCGCCTACTTGGGTACACTTGGGTCGAATAGAGGAAATACGTACGTCATGCAAGTAGACGAGTGTTCAAGAGCAAAGAGCGCAAGTGTGGGTGTTTGGACAAAGCATTGATCTCCTGTCCTCTCAGTGCATGAACCCTCTGATCGCTAACTCCTCTATTGTTCTCTTCCATTTTCTACCCTTTTAGTTCCTTTATTTCTACGTATGCCAACAGCAGATTCACAATGTGGATCGTCCCATTGGTTGAAATAGGCCACATGATTATAACCGGAACTGATTTAGTTTTAGTGGGTAGATTTACAATTCGGAAAGAAAACCCTGACTTGTTGTGTAGTGTCTTTGGTGTATTGGAATACAATTTATGATACGAGCGAATTTGATGCGAAATATAATTTAAATTTGTGATTCTACAACAAAATCCCATTATTATTTAACTGTTAAACTGTAGCATGCATATAGTACTGTAAATTGTTTCTTTTTTCTAAATACATGTATAGTTGGTTTCTGCAAGGATGCCTTAAATTAATCAAAAGTGACAGTAAAGACATTCATAATGTTACAAAATGATTCTATTTCATATAAATATTGTTCTTTTGAACAGAATCCTGAAAAATGAAGTATCACGGAAAAATCGTGAAAAAAACTATTTTCAACACTGATAATGATCATAAATGTTTCTTGAGCATCAAATCATCATATTAGAGTGTTTTCTGAAGGATCATTTGACACTGAAGACCGGAGAAAATTCATCTTTGATCACAGGAATAAATTACACTTCACTCACATACAGATACAGTACATAAAATCTCCATGTGTGTAAATATTCCAACACACACACTGTAAAAATGAATATGCTTTAGCTAATCAATAGAATTGTGGCAACAGATTACAGTATAAGCAATTATTAATTAAATTTAATAAATTAGAATTGAGTAATAATTAATCAAATTATTCTTTAAAAGTTAACCATTTAAACTGAGTCAAGTTTACACCAAAAAATATAACAAATATATTTTACTAACAGACAGATGTCAAAGATTAATTGAATTAATTGAAGATACCTGATGTTAACAAGCAGAATCACGGAAGGAGAAAACCGTCATTTTAAAACAAACACTGATCACCATAATGGTGACTTCAGTTTATGTTTTTTTGGTTGTTGTTGTTGTAAGTTTTACTCATTTTAAATGGTTAACTTTTAAGGAATTAATTTGATTAATTATTACTCAATTCTAATTTGTTAAACTTAATAAAGTTTATTCATTTTTACAGTGCACACACACAACAATTAGTAAAAGTTTATATTTCTAACTTGTTGAGTCAAGATAAATTCCGCAATACAATAAATGCAAATAATCGATAGGAAATTTATTTGCTTTTGGTATGTTAACTTGTTCATTTAAAAAAAAAATAATAATAATAATAATAATAAAAAAATATACATATATATATATATATATATATATATATATATTAATAAAATAAAATTCATTTAAAAAAATATACGTTTTTATTTTAGGCTTTAGGAATGTACATTTTTTAAATAATAAACAATTTTTTATTTATATTTTTTTTATTGTTTTTATTTTATTTATTTAATTAAGTTTTAGTTTTTACGAAACCAGCTCTGAATAGATTGATAGATTATTTCCTGAACATTTCGCCTCTGTTTCAGACAAACGTTCCCACACTAAAAGTACCCATGTACTGTAGTTGCACGTGATGGGATAAATCCGTTTTGAATGTTTTGGCTATTCCCGTTCCCCCGATGTGTTGCATGGCTGTTCTGTAGCAGTTCTTGTTCCCGCATGTCCAGTAGAGTCGTGCTGTTTCTCTTGTCCTTCATTGTGTTGAGTATTTCTCTTCCATTTCTCCTCCATGGAATATCTTCTGAACGACTACTTCCCAATTCTTCCTTTTATGACAAACCATAGCGACAAACCAAGATAAAACGAGTGTTAAACGATGTATACATATTAGATATTCCATGGCACTCTAGTCAAAATGACATGAAAACACACAACAGAACATCCATTTTTGTTAAAACAAACACACTTATACTTCATATATCAACAGTGCATCTAGACATGCTAGTCATTTATTATTCAACATCTATGCGCTGCATCTGATATAAAGCCATAATACACTTCAAAACTTCATTATAAAACAATTCTGTGTTAATGTATGTATGTGACTCACAATGATGTTGATAATTACTCATTCTCTGTCTTCCTTTTTTAATTTGATTTCACTGTAATGTCCATGTGATGAATGTTTTATCATCTGCTTTCTGTTATTTTTGTCCTGTGTGTGTGTGGATGCCTTCATCTTAGGTAAAATGCAGGATGGAAATATGGAGAACAACCAGACCAAAGGTAACCTGCTTTCACTTTACCGCTGGTTTGAGCGCTCACCATGATTTTATCCCTCCGTTCGCGTCGGTTCGGATGTCAGCTCGTCTGTTTGTTCTGCTTCTCATGTGTGTGTCAGGGTTCCTGTCCTCGTCCAACTCTCCAATCACTCTAATGATCATGTAGTGTAACAGGGTTACTTACGCTTTTGCAAACGAAAATATCCAGAGGTTTCCATTCATTTTAAGTAAATGTGAAAGTTTTATTCAGATATTGACAATAGAGATGTATTTCATCTATGTATTTGGCTTCATATTTTGACTTTACTTGTATTAATAAATACTTTGCGTTTAAGTTTTGTTCACAGGATAGAGTCTGGCTTAGGCGTTGCGTGTTCAGTATTAAACGCCCATCAAGTTTCTGATCATATGCAGGTCTTAAAGTTGAATATATGCAAAAGGTTGAATGTTTTTCAATTCTATAATGCACATATCAGTGTATTAAAAACAGTATGCATAAAATGTATGTAGTACGAGTAATTGACTATGAACTCGGGGCACTGTATCAATGGATTTAGACATTTTTTGTTTTGTTTTTACCAGCGGATATACCTTTAAGTGCACATGGTGGCTGGTAACGGTCATTCATAAATGTGACCCTGACCCACAATTGAGATTCATGCATCATACGAAAGCTGGATAAATAAGCTTTCCATTGATGTATGTTTTGTTAGGATATGACAATATTTGGCCGAAATATGACTATCTGAAAATCTGAGGGTGCAAAAAAAAAAAAAAAAAATCAAAATCGAAACATTGAGAAATTCGCCTTTAAAGTTGTGCATTTATGTTCGCGATTGTGCCGCATTCACTATACAGTATGCATTCATTATATTTACGGTAGGAAATTTACAAACTATCTTCATTGAACATGATATATACTTCATATCCTAATGATTTTTGGCATAAAAGAAAAATCGATAATTTTGACCCATACAATGTATTGTTGGCTATTGCCACAGATATACCCGTGCGACTCGTGACTGGTTTTGTGGTCCAGAGTCACATGTTTTGTTAATGAGTTACAAAACCCAACAGTAGAGTTCAAATTGTGTTTATTCCTATTTGGTGACTCCCTCACGACGAGGTCCAGCATTAGTAGTGAGCAAAGGCCCATTACCAACTCATGTTTTCTGTGGTCTTTACAGTGAAAAAGCAAGATGGCGCTGCTGCGATGGAGATGCAGCCCTTGAAGAGCGCAGAGGGAGGAGAAACCGATGAAAAGGAGAAGAAGAAAGCCAACGTCTCCAAGAAAGAGAAATCCGTTCTGCAAGGAAAACTGACAAAGCTGGCTGTGCAAATCGGCAAAGCAGGTGCTGCGTGTTTTTCGGGTGTTTGGAGGATTGGGACTCTACAGGTTTGGTGTTTTATCATCGCAGTGGAGCTCTAATGCCGTGTTTATTGTGGTCTGGTCCTCAGGTTTGGTAATGTCTGCCATTACAGTCATCATCCTGGTGCTTTACTTCGCAATCGATAACTTTGTGCTTCAGAAGAGGCCGTGGCTGCCGGAGTGCACTCCAGTCTACATTCAGTATTTTGTCAAATTCTTTATTATTGGTGTAACTGTCCTGGTGGTCGCGGTTCCCGAAGGCCTTCCGCTTGCTGTTACCATTTCTCTGGCCTACTCTGTGAAGGTACATGACGAATACACCCTGTTTAGATCTAGCTCAAAGAAGTAGTTCACTTCAGAGTTCAAATGTCCTGATCATTTACTCAACCCCACGTCGTTCAAGATGTACACGTCTTTCTTTCTTCAGTCGAAAAGAAATGAAGGTTTTTGAGGAAAATATTCCAGAATGTTCTCCATATAGTGACTTCAATGGGGTCCAATGGGTCAAAGGTCCAGACGTGAGTTTCAGCGCGGCTTCAAAGTCTCGACACAATCCCTGCCGATGTCTGATCTAGACAAACCAGCGGACATTTTATAACAATAAAATTAAAAACATATACTTTGAACCACAAATGCTCATCTTGCACTAGCACTGATGCGCCACACTTTACGTAATTACGTTGGAAAGGTAACGCTGTAACCTGATGTAGCCTGTAAATTCAGTTTGACTTAGTCTTTGCACGTTGGCTTTGTAAACACTACGGTCTGCACTTCCGCCCACGTCACGCTTGACCTTTCGACGTGATCACATAATGTACGAGCATTTGTGGTTAAAAAGAGTATGTAAATGTTTATTTTGTAATAAAATGTCCAGTGGTTTGTCTAGATAAGACTCTTATTCCTCGGCTGTGGTCGTGTTTCGAGACTTTGAAGCTGCACTGAAACTCACATCTGGGCCTTTAACCCATTGGACCCCATTGAAGTCACTATATAGAGAAAAATCCTGGAATATTTTCCTCAAAAACCTTAATTTCTTTTCCACTGAAGAAAGAAATTTAATGTTAATTAAATGTTAATTCTGAAGTGAACTAATCCTTTAATACTTTGACATTAAATTAACCTAATGAGCTGATTACCCAGAGAGCGATTTTGGGCATCATAGGAACGCTTTTTTTTTTTTTTTTTTTTTTTGTCAAGTATCACCTATTAATCAGAAAACCCCAAATTCAAAATTAAAATATTGTGAAAAGTTATTGTTTTTCTGAAATTGTATTTATCTGAAATAAATGTACTTTTGCACAATATTCAAATTTTTCGAGTAGGTATAGTGAACATCACAGTTTTTAGGAATGTACTCTACCACGACATGTTATATTAGCTGGTTTTCTATAAATATGACTAATACTTTTTTTGTCTGCGCTGATAGAAAATGATGAAGGATAACAATTTGGTCCGCCATCTGGACGCTTGCGAGACCATGGGCAATGCCACGGCGATCTGCTCAGACAAGACTGGGACGCTGACCACCAACCGCATGACAGCAGTGCAATGCTTTGTGGGGGATTTCCATTACAAGACGATACCAGAGCCCAGCTCCATCCCAGCCAAAACCCTGGAGATACTGGTCAATGCTATAGCCCTCAACAGCGCCTACACTACTAAAATACTGGTAAGAAATGAAAAAGGAAATCGCTCAAACCAGTGTTATTTCAGCTACAACTGCTTTACAAACAATAGACTTTAATGTTAATAATGTAAAAACACAAGATAGTACTCATATACACTGCCAGCCCTGCACATCAAAGAAGTTGCACTGGTGCTTTTAGCCTTTAGCACACTTTTAGCATTTAGTTTTTACTGGATTACAGTGTGCATTCTTCATGTCATTGTTTCGACATCCTTATGCAAAATCACAACATTTATTTCCATCAAGAGTTGCATTCGACTCAATAGACTCTGCAAATGGCGGCTTTCCTTTTGGCCAGTCAGTGTAATACATTACACCACAAGCTAGCACAACGTTAGCAGAAATTATGAAACATCACCCTCACGTCAGTCAAACCCTCTAAAAGCCTGTTCACAGAGCGGTGTGAATCCAAACAAAGATAATCCAATTAGAGTGTCAAAACTAGGAACATGAAACACAATAAATCTTCCTAGCTTCACACAACACGCAATGTCAACAGCCGACAAACCAAAAGTTAACAAGGCCCACCTGAAACTGGTAATAAACAAGACAAAGGCAAACAGAAACTAAACATGAAGGGAGAAGTAATGATATAAGGAGAACAGAAAATACATTTCAAAATAAGAGTCCACAGCAAGGAACTATAAAGATAACCTTAACGATAACTATATTAGCATAAATGATACATAGTTCTGTTTATTATAAGCCGTCTGCCGCTTAAAATGCCCTAGCTTTTTGAAGCAGGACAGATTCTGATTGGCTGTCAATGTTTTTATCATTCATCAGCTGGAAAAAAAAAATCGTTCTGAAAATGATTCCAGCAATACTGTTTATCTGTGTAATTATAATTATATTTGTGGTGTGGACTATTCTATTCTTTTATATTTAGAAAGTTATTTAGAACTACAGTGTTTCTTATTTTTTATCGTTATAGTTATGGTCTTCGGTGTGACCAGTTCTTCCATCTTTGGAACACTATATTTATGTTTAGCAGAATATGTCTAAAATCATCATTATGGCATCACAGAAAATGTGTCATTCAAATGATGAGGGCCTTATTTTACTCTCACTGTGTCTGAAATCTCCACTCAAACCACTACTCCCTATCCCCTATGTAGGGGGTAGGGAGTAGAGCACTATATAGTGAGCTCACTAGCATAATAGAAACACCACTTTCGGACACTACTCGATCGTCTCTCTGCACCATTGATTACATCATCTGTCAGCTGGTGCCACGCCGGCTCTATGCTAAATAGATTTTTTAAAATAAATACATTACATTATATTGAGCTTATTTCTCCAAAATAAAAAATAAAAAATAAAACTACAAGTCATTTCTGGCCGTTTCTGTTTTAATGTGCTACTTCACACATGATTATAACTTATTTTTACGATCAGCGCAATGCATGATGGTATGTAGGGCTTGGGTTAGTGACCACTACTTTTGGGTTGTACACTACTTTTCAAAATGCATTCTGGGATACATTGAGTGGACTACATAGGGAATAATAATCAGCACCATTCGGACAGCACTACAAAATGGCGAACTCGAGCTCATTTGGGGAGCCAAAAATAGTAATTCTATAAGCAAAAAAAAAAAAATCCTTTTGGAACCTTTACTTTATTTATAGTGTTTGTATTCGAAATGAGGATTATGCTCACAGTTATAGAAGTTCAAGAGAGAAAGTTTGCTTCAAATGATCAGAAATCACGCTAACACTTTGCAATAAGGCTCATCTAATAATGAGTAATACATTTGTTACAGAACTCCAGCACAAAGTGAACCTTTGGTCTAATAACACATTGGTACCTAGTCGACCGTTCTCGCCTCTCAATCGTCCAATTTCAAAACGGTTTTCACAGGTTGAATTTTGAATTCGTAAGCTTTCGAGTGAGACCTAATCTATGATGATTACTAAAATATGTGATATGAAAAAAAGGCAATAAAAAAGGGAGCGCCAGTCGAACGATAAAATAAATAAAAAGAGATTTGGAAAGGGCTTGAACCCAGCTTTAATATGGTCTCAAAACCTGTAAAATGTCAAATTTCACCATGTGATGGGTTTTCCCAGATCGCATCACATATGAGTAACTTAATGTTGAAATTAATATTAATAAATGCTGAAGTTCATGTTAGTTCATTCTTAGTTCATGTTAACTTAGTTAGTTAACTAATTTTAAGTAACAAACCTTATTGAAAAGTGCTACCGAAATCGCTGAAAGTGTATCATATTTAGACAGAGATGAAATCTTAGTTTATTGGAGTTAGGACTGTGTTTGCCTTTTCATGTGTGCGTGTTTCCATATGTGTTCTCTGAAAGTCAGGAACGCTGCAGAATAGTCGCTGTGTATTTTGGAGCGCCAGGTAGGCTTGATTTCTATAAAAGAACAGTCTGCAAGGAAATGGTTGAGACAACGAGTTATGAAAAAAAAAAGACAAAAGTCACAACTCAGATCTGTCCCTGATCTTGCTTTAACAAGCCGATGAGCTGAAACGGGCCTAGCGAACGCCTCCTCTTGGCAGACTAGCACAGCGCACTGAACCCGTCCCGCGAGACCCGCGATGAGAGCTCTCATAACCATACACAGATAATCATATCATTCCAGACATCTTGTTTTAACGTAGACTGAAATGAGCAGAACTCTTCATCCCTGGAGAGATCCAGCAAGATACCATGCTTTACTGCTACATTATGTAATTAATGCATGAACTTTTCCTCACCCGAAACTCAAGAGCTGCTTCAGAAACTTTTCAAAGTCCTTCCCAACTCATCCTGATGGAAAATCGTTTATTAACCCTTGCAGTGCTGAAAAACCATTTTCCCAATTTGGTGTTTCAAATCAATAATGTCCAGGTTTTTAAATTGCTTGTAAATCTTTTGTTATGCTATATTATCATCACGTATTGGATTCAATCTTCTTGTCAGCTTGTTTTCTCTCAGGTTTTGAATTAGTTTTTAGACCTGATTGATCATAGGCCTCATTGATCGGAGCTCATGCTTATTCACCTCAGGTGCATGTGTTCAGATTAATGAGGTCTACGATCAATCCGTTTTCAAAAACAAATACCAAACCTGTGCTTATTGAAAGAAAAATAGTTGAGAAAACGATTGAATCCAACAGCATTGCATAATGAGAGATTTATAAGCAGTTTTTGCAGGCAACACATTTGAGCAGGAACACAAAGCAAGGTGGGGAATGCCTTTTTTGACAAAAAAAAAAATGTTTTAGCCCAATGTGGTAACATTAACTAGTAGTCCATTGTGGTAACATAACTAGCAATGTTGAGAAAAAGAAAAAGCATTGCTTCCGACCTAAATGACAGGAACACAACTAGAGGGAGTTTGAGAGCATTTCCCGAAAGCATCATTAGACAACTATAGTCAGTTCTGTCGTTATCAGCAGTTCAAAGAGTCGCTGTTTCCGAAACCATGGTTCCAACGAACATTCGCAAACAGCATCACAGAGTTGTGTGTTTGAGCAACAGATCTCGACCTGTGGTTAGAAGCAGAGTTTCCAGTTTGCATGACATGTGGACTCAATAAACCTTGATCTTGACCAAAATAAGCAAGCTGACATTCAGTGCAATCTATATATTTTATTTCGAACACATACTAATGTCATTTACGTCTTTTAGTTTGTCAAGGGATTTAAAGCGCCGTTTTTGAAAAGTGTCCATGTGTGAACGAGCTCTAGTGTCTAAAAACGGGTCTGTGATTGAATCTGGAAATAAAGCAAAATAACTGAGAAAACAACCCGGTCTCATCCCAAGACGTCATATAACTGACATTTTGGGACGTCTTTTGACCATACGTCAATATTCGCCTTTTTAGGGCCCCCTTAAACGTCGGTAGATGAGGTTATGGGATCCTAACTCTACCCCATACCTAAACCTAACCCTAAACCTAACCCGTCACCTAACTGACGTTAAAGGTAAAGCGTCAGTTGTATGACGGCCCGGGATCGCCATCTACCAACGTTTAAGGGGGCCCTAAAAAGGCGGATATTGACGTATGGTCAAAATACGCCCCAAGACGTCAGTTATATGACTTTTTGGGATGAGACTGTGTTAGAGAAAACTGACAAATATTCCTCAAATGCATGTCTGTAATTTAAAGGGATACTTCACCTCTGGGAAGATGAATGTGTATTTACCAGTATGTTGCGTTCAAGTGCCTTTGTTGTCATAATGTGGTAAAAAGATGGAGATCTAGACCTGTTATTTAGCTAAAACTATTTTAGATTGCTTAAGTCCTCTGCAATTGCAAGAAAATGATTCATCAAAACTCAAAAGGTAAATAAAATGCTGAATATTTTCTAGATCATATATATTTTTACCATTCACGACTCTCGCAGTGCTCTCCGCCATTTTGAAAAGGTCAAAGTTTATCTCATCTCGGCAACTCATCCATCAAAATATTCTACGAGTTGCCCAGTGGAAAATACCACATGAGGGGGTGTTCATGTGCATTTTCCACGTCGGCTTTTGGTATTTACCATAATTACCATAGCACATGAACGCAGAAAGAATCCCAGCCCGTTCTCATCCTTTAGCGTCACATAGAACGCTATATGACAAAACGGCGCTATACTACGCACATGGCACCCTTTATCGTTAATATTCACGCGAACCCAAGGCGTCATAAATCCATTAGCGTAATATTAGACTTCCCTACCGTACCCCACACCTAAACCTACCCATCACAGCACGTGTTATATTAACGATAACGGGTGCCATGTGCGTAGTATAGCATTGTTTTGTCATATAGCGTTCTATATGACGCTAAAGAATGAGAATGCGTTGAAAAATCCTAAGCTCCTCACTGGTATTCACGACATTGTGGTGGCGTTTAAGTGCGTTCAATTCGTAATTACGATCTATACGAACACAGCATCAGCCTCTGGCCCAAAAATCCTCAGATGATGCAAAATGAAGATTTTTGCGTCATCGGAGGATTTTTTCCAGACTTAAAATTCATTTT